CGTAAATGAAAATATTATTAATGTCACTTGTATTTCACATCGATAAAATTTAATACTTAAAAATGTATAATAATTATCTATTTTCATTCGGTTTGATTTGCATTGTTCTCAATTTTGACTTTGTAAACTCCATAGATAAAATTTCTAAGTTAAACTTATTTTTAAAAAACCCTTATTGGACAAAATTAAGAAAAAGTTTGTATATTATTGATGAAAATCATGGAGAAATCGCTTTGGACCAATTGATTAAAGGAATTACTAGAAGTGATTTTGTTACATCTGAAAATCTGATTGCAAAAAACATCCCGACTGAAAAGAAGGTTGTAAACATTTTATAATAAGAGAATCTACTGCTTTCATTTACTCTATTGCAGATTGACCGGCTGCATTTTCTTCTTTTTCAAATTACACTGAAATGGAACTTAATAATAACGTTAATTCATACGTAGACATAATATATTATTTAGCTTCATCAAAAAAACATAGTGACATAGATTTAGATGAAAAACTCGATGAATTAGAAAATACTGTTCGAGATTTCATGAATGGTAACTGTATACCAAAACAGCTAACACTTTCGATGATAACCAAACACTACAACAGACAAGTTGGAAATAGATCTTACGATGAAATAGTTTGGAAAGTCAAACCTCATCTTGATCAAATAAAAATATTAGTTATGTCTTTTTTGTTGAAATTTGATTTCCTACATACTAAAAAGTGTATATTAAAGTCAAGTTTTAATTATAAAGTTTGTGAATTAGAAATCTTTTTAAAAAACTCATATTGGAATAAATTTAGAGACAGTTTACATATTTATGACGGAAATAATGGAGAAATTACCATGGACCAATTGTTTGATGGATTTGGAACAAAAGATTTTGTTACATCTGATAATAAGAACGATAAAGCCAGACAGTTTTATTTGTTATTGAGCTGTAATCTCTCTAAGAAATTAGAAGGATATACAGATTTTTTAAGAGTACTATGGAGAGAATGTAAAAAACATACAGCAGAAAAAAGAAATTGTAAAAAACAACTAATAATGGAATTTGCTTCTCAGCTCTCACCGAACCGATTTCTTTCAATGATACATCAAAAGATCACAAATCGTATCTAGTCCAAGACATTACCCTCAAAAATTAAAAAAATTTCCCTCGTTCCTCGTAAATGGGGGAAACAAATTACAAATTTAAAAATCGCTTATTTTCGACATTTTTTCAATTTTTTTTACTTAAAATTGCCATAAATTTTTCAAAAATGAACAAATCAATATAATTTGTTTTTTATATAGATGCTATATGTCTTTACCTATCATTTGGTATATTTTTTTTTTAAATTTAACCCTTTATCAGCCTACAGGGGGGGATTTAAAATAGTGATTAATCACTGTCAGATATCATTATACTTGATCCAACTAAGCCACGTCACAACTGTGCCGCGACCCCCCTGTACTGGGTTTTTGTTTTATTGTTTTCAATAAAATTGTGACAACTATAAAACATTAATTCAGTAAGAAGTATTTTAATGAAAAAAGTCTTTTGAAATCAAAAACATAACAATATTAAACAGATTTGTAAAAAAAAAAACCTGTTTAAAAGATAAGTGAACAGTTGAAAACATTAAAATTACCCTTATGGGTAATTTTAATTGCGTATATACGTAGCATTTAAAATGTTTATTGGATTTCATTTAATATTCATATCGCTAAAATTGTACGCAACAAAATGTTTTATTTTTAATGATACAATTTAACTTAGAAATATATCTTACGTTTTTTTAATCATGGTAACTATTTAAATAAAATTATAGGTATTCATAAAAGTCAAATGAACCATTGTATATATTAGCCTCCCTTTGCCAATAGAAACAAATGTCTTCTCATATTTATTATTAGTTATGTTTTGGGTAATATGTATATACGTTAGAGATGAAACTTTCATTATTTATTTTTTTAATGATATAGCGGCTAGTGTATTAACGAATAATTTTTTATTAATATAACGATTATTTAAATTGTTACTAAAACAAAATTATAATGTCATTTTATTTTATTTAAATGGAAATTGTTTTGTTTGTACAAAAAAATATATTATATCAAGTACTCGGTATAGTAACCTTACATTCCACACATTCTGATCGACGAAGCATCGTTGTCTGTCTACGATAATTTGAAGAACTCTAAAATACTTCATTATATTAAATTAAAATTTTATTTTAAGAATATTTTTGACACTAAATTTTTAAAGACATTTTTTTATTATTAAGCACAAAATGTTAAATAATAATAGAATCACAGTAATATAATGAAATTATTCTATAAAAAATTAAAACATATTTAAATTATAAGTAATAAAACATCACATTTTAAATTACATTAAGTGAAAAGTATAATTTAAAAATAATTTCTGTCATCGATTTTGTATATAAATAACATTTTGTATAAATTGAATCATTATTAACTGAAAATAAAATCAACGTAATTTTTATTTCACAGTGAAAACATTTTATATTTCAAAATGTATACGAAATATTTATTTTCATTTGGTTTGATTTGCATTATTCTCAATTTTGAATTTGTAAACTCCAAAGATAAAGTTTCTAAATTAAACTGTTTTTTAAAAAACCCGCATTGGACAAATTTAAAAAATAGTTTGCATATTATTGATGAAGGTCATGGAGAAATCACCATGGACCAATTGTTTGATGGTTTTGGAACAAAAAATTTTGTTACATCTGAAAATCTGAACGATAAAGCTAGACAGTTTTATTTGTTGCTAAGCTGCAATCTTTTTAAGATATTAGGAGAATATACAGACTATGTAAAAATAATATGGACAGAATGTAAAAACCATTTCGACAGAAAAGAAGCATGTAAGCATTATATAATGAGAGAATTTACTGCTTTCACAAATTTCATTGCAGATTGGCCGGCTGCATTTTCTTCTTTTTCAAATTACACTGATATGGAACTTAAAAATAACATTAATTCTTATGTAAACATAGTATATTATTTAGCTTCATCAAACAACCATAGTGACATTGATATAGATGAAAAACTTAATGAATTAGATAATAATGTTCGAGATTTTATGAATGGTAAATGTAGAACAAAACAGCCAAGTCCTTCGGTGATAATCGAACAGTATAACAAGCAATTTGATAATAAGTCTAACGACGAAATAAATTTGAAAATCAATTCTTATCTTGATCAAATAAAAATAAATGTTATAGATTTTTTGTTGAACTTTGATTTCCTACATACCAAAAAGTGTATATTAATGTCAAATTTTAATTATAAAGTTTGTGAATTAGATATCTTTTTAAAATACTCACATTAGAATGAATTTAGAGACGGTTTACATATTTATGACGGAAATAATGGAGAAATTACCATGGACCAATTGTTTGATGGATTTGGAACAAAAGATTTTGTTACATCTGATAATAATAACGATAAAGCCAGACAGTTTTATTTGTTCTTGAGCTGTAATCTCTCAATGAAATTAGAAAGGTATGCAGATTTTGTAAGAATATTATGGGGAGAATGTAAAAAAAAATATACAGAAGAAAAAAGAAATTGTAAAAAACAACTTATAATGGAATTTGCTTCTTTCACAAATTTCATTGAAGATTGGCCGGCTGCATTTTCTTCTTTTTCAAATTACACTGAAATGGAACTTCAAAATAACATTGATGCATTCGTTATCATAGTACATTATTTAGCTTCATCATACAACAAAAATGACAATTTCATAGACGAAAAACTCGATGAATTAAATAATAATGTTCGAGATTTCATGAATAATAACTGTAGACCAATACAGCCAAATCCATCGAATGTAATTGAATGGTACAACACGCAAGTTGAAAAAGAAAGACCTATTGTCGAAATATCCGCGGATATCAAAAAAGATCTTCATAACATTAAAATATCAGTAATGGATGCTTTTTTAAAATTTGGTTTCTGGCATACAATAAAGAGTGTACCTAAAATGAAGTCATTAGATCTTTGAAATTTGAAGACATTCGGTGTAAATGGAATCATAATAGTATCATTTTTCTCGAATGTGGGGGCTAGGCAGAAACCTTCACGTGGTGCCCCTGTTAATGTTGTATCTTCACAGCTAACTAATTCTGCCAACACCGGTGCTAAAAATGCCAATAAATAGCTCCCCAAAACGGTCCTTTTCAGGACCAACCCCTGTTAATGCTTCGGCATTTACAGTGCTAACGCAAAACATCGAGGGCTTCTCGGCATGTAAAGGTGAGCTACTAGCCACCTTATGCGCGCAGAGTCAATGTGATGTTTTGTGTTTGCAAGAGACGCACCGGGACGAGACCAGTGTCCGTCCAAAAATACCGGGAATGGATTTAATTATTGAAGTACCTAACGCACTCTACGGAAGCGCCATATTTGCTAGGCCGGGCATAGTCATAGATAGTGCAGCATTCAGTAACACAAATAACATTGAAATCCTAACAATAGAAACCAAAAGATGTACAGTTACATCAATATACAAGCCACCAAATGCTGATTTTACTTTTGAAAAACCATCCAATTTTGAAAATAGCCTTACAAAAATAATAGCTGGAGATTTTAACAGTCATAGTTCTACCTGNATTTTTTTATTATTAAGCACAAAATGTTAAATAATAATAGAATCACAGTAATATAATGAAATTATTCTATAAAAAATTAAAACATATTTAAATTATAAGTAATAAAACATCACATTTTAAAATACATTAACTGAAAAGTATAATTTAAAAATAATTTCTGTCAACGATTTTTTATATAAATAACATATTTTGTATAAATTGAATCATTATTAATAATTATTAACTGAAAATAAAATCAACGTAATTTTTATTTCACAGTGAAAATATTTTATATTTCAAAATGTATACGAAATATTTATTTTCATTTGGTTTGATTTGCATTATTCTCAATTTTGACTTGGTAAACTCCAAAGATAAAGTTTTTTAAAGTAGCCGATAATATGTAGTTGCTTATATCTTTATCTAATTATTTAATAAATGTGTATTATATAGCTTTGTAAATTAATTTACAAAAATAACATGTGTGTAATAAACTCAAGCATAAAAAAATGTTCGTACATGCTCCTTAACCTCTTCCCACTTTTATAATTTTTCTGAAGAGAAACTTCTTTACAGTGGATCTGAAAAAAAATGTTATCGAGCATCACGGTCAGCTGTAAAGTATATTATATATTATAATTTATCACTGTATTATCGAAAATAAAAGTAATTTTTTTTAATATGTATGAAATAATTTAATTTCAAATAATTTTGATTCTGTATAAATAAAAAATTTAAAAAACCATAGTAGTTGCAATTTCCCATCATCTTTGACTGAGATATTATCTCAAACAGTATGTACAAAAATAATATTCTAGGTACTAACATATTCACAAACAATTAATATCTAAAATTTATAAAGTTTTACGCTTACATATACACATTTGTGACATTAAAAAACTCATTTAATACATCCATATATATCTCATATTTACATGGCAGTATTAAATTAATACATATACAGGGTTATTAAGTCTACAATAAAAAGTTTTAACACATATTCGTTCAATAAATTAGTAATTATTAATAATATCTGTATTTTATTATCAGGCATGTAGCCAGAAAATGTTTATTAGAGGGGCCAACAATTTAGGGCACTTGTATCATTTTCCATAATTTGTTTCCCATGAAAAGCTTGTGGGGGGGCTCCCTCCACTCCTCCTTAGACAGTATCCCATTCTATGAATCTTACAAGTTCAAAATTTGTGTTTATTTTTAAAAAATTGGTGGATAATTCCAAAAGTTACATGATCAAGATTTTTTTTTAAAAAAACTAAAAAAACACGCTTTTAAAGCACATCGAACTAAAAAGTTAAAAATAATTTTTAAAATAATTATGAATAAAAAATACTAATATTATTATGATAAAAGCGTGGGTGCTTTGTGCCATATTTTTCGTATATTGAGCGCCCGACGCTTTTATCACAATAATACTAGTATTTTTTATTCATAATTATTTTAAAAATTATTTTTACTTTTTAGTTTGATGTGCTTTAAAACGTGTTTTTTTTAAACTATATTTATTTTTTTAAATACTATTTTACTTACTCCCCTGTGGACGATTAAAGGATTAAATAAAAAAAAAAATTCTATCAAATGAAAGAAAAATACCTAAGGTTTCAATATAAAAATATACTATTTTGATTTGTTAACATTTCAATAAGTTATGGCAGTTTTAAGTACAAAAAAAACCCAGCACATGGAGGTCGCGGCACAGTGGTGACGTGGCATAGATGGATCAAGTATAATGATATCTGACAGTGATTAAAATCACTATAAAAAAAAAAAACGCTTCGATGCAAATCTTTATATAGTGTTTAATTTTAAAAATTGGTGGATTTTCCAAAAGTTACACGATCTGCTAGTTCCTTATTAATATCCTGATTAAGATAAAATATGTCGAATGAAAAGGGGATTATTAAAAAATATTATTACTCATAAAAAAATTGTGTTGATCCATACATTTTTCAAAAAGTTATAGCATTATAAAATTAAAAATCATAATCGAAAATTTTCACACAAAAATAGCATTTGGTTGCTATTTTCCCCGTGAAGACAAAATAAAGTCCGAAATTTTTTTTTAATAAAAAAGTACATAACATTAGCTTTAATTTATGATATAGATAAAAGTGTCAGACTTTCGGGTATATTTTAAAAATTTAAGTGGAAAAAGTTAATTTTTTGTAAAAAAGTTGTCATTTTAAATCCCCCCCGTGGGCAGGTAAAGGATCAGATTTATAAAAAAAATATATCAAATGAAAAGTAACGATACCATGCATCTATATAAAAAAATTATGGGAATTTTAAGTAAAAAAAATTGAAAAAATTAGCGATTTTTAAATTTGCAATTTTTGGGGGGTTTCCCACATTGGCGGGGAACGAGGGATTTTTTTTTAATTTTTGAGTGTAATGTCTTCGACTAGATACGATTTGTGATCTTTTGACGTATCATTGAAAGAAATCGGTTCTGTGAGAGCTGAGAAAAAGTGATAACAGACACAAAAAAAAAAAAACACATTATAGTAAAATTAATACCTTCTCAGCTTTGCATCGAAGCTAATAAAATAATGATGTGAACATAATAATCAAATAAGCTGATTTAATTTTTCAACTTTTAAGCTATTAAGAAAAAATAATTTTTACCTAAATACTAATAACAAATAAGTTATAAAAAATTTAAAAATAAATATAAATTATAAACAATGTAAAATTTATTTTATTTAAAATTAAAAACAATTCCTGCCTTTTTTTAGTCATATTTTTATTACTATTATTTAGAGCACGCAAATAACAAATTAACAAAAACAAATAAATTACCTATTGTAACTACTAAATTATAAAAAAAGAAACATATTAAAGATAAGATTATCAAAAAAAATTTTTATAGTGTATACTTTATAGAATTTTGTAATCAACTAGATTCTAATTATTAAATTGCAGATTCTCGTTAGTTTGTTATCATTTTTTGGACCATAGTTAAAAAAAATTTACCTACAACCACGATCGGAGTAACTGCTATTCCATTTATTATTACTTCTAGAACGTTATCTTTTTCAAATAACGTTTTCTATGAATAGAAAAGTGAAAATACAGCCATAATAATAACTGTATTACTCAATAGTAATCACAAATTAATAATAATTTCAATGTAAAAGCCTAGCACGTTTTTGATAATTCGTAAAAATAATTGAGTTTTAAAATTGGGGGGATGGCCCTAGGCCACATTAAATCTAAGGGGGGCCAGACCCACCCTGGCCCACCCATGTCTACGTGGCTGTTTATTATAATAATTCTCACAATAATTGTAACGTGACACCATCACAGATGTTTGATTCATTTGATGATGGGATGGTAACGTAGTGGCATGCAAGATAGTCACCTGTGTACTACTTCGGACCGCTTCATGGACGGCATTTGTGTGTACACTCACCCCGCTTCATATACATTGTCGCCTTATGATTCCAATTGTTCTTAATTATTTCTGGCACTGGATATTTTATTTAGTTTTTGACCCCTACTCTTAAGGCTAGCCATGTGGTCGCCAATAGACCGCCGGACGTTTTGTTGGAAATTAGCCATCGTCTAACTGGTGAGTTAATTTTTGTCCGTAGTGGTGTGTTTTTTTTGAAGTTGTGTGCGTTACAACAAATTGTTTTTTATATATAAATATATTTTTCTCGTGTGGCCGCTAAATTTGTATTATATAAATTTTTTTGTATGTTGGCGTCGGCTGAACCTGCCTCCGGTTTCTTTAGCCTTTCGGGGCTGGTAACGTATAATTTTTAATTAATGTTTTGAGCCAGAATTTTTTTTAGCACACCGTGTCATAAGCACGTGTGGCGAATTTTATTTTATTAATTTTTTTGTAGTTGTCCCTATTTTTTATTATTTAGGTCCAACATAGCAAGCGTGTTACAATATCACCTGTCATGTTATATATACATATTTTGTGATTTTCTTTTATATGGGTTTTATATTATATTATATGGATGGGGGGTGTATGTATTATAAGTATGATGAGGTGACGTAGTGCATTTAATTCCGGGAAGTCCCAACGTCTTGCAAGCTAAGTCTAAATGTTTTAAACCAGTCGCTTACTTGGGACGTATACCTGCCGGGCTTAGTGGTAATGCCGTGGTTAATTTTTCTTATAAATCAGACCCTTTATCTGCCAATAGGAGCGGATTTAAAATGACAACTTTTTCACCAAAAAATTTACTTTTTCAACTTAACTTTTGAAAGTATCCCGGAAACACTGACACTTTTATATATACCTTAAATTAAAGATAATGTAATATACTTAATTATGGAAAAAAAAAAATGTTTGGACTTTATTTTGTCTCTATGGTGAAATTGGCTATCGTATGCTAATTTTGAGAATTAATACTAATAATTCTCGATTTTATATTTAAAATTTTTAACTTTATATTTATATTTTAAAAAATGCATAAATCAATAAACTTTTTTTATGATAAATAATATTTATATATCTCTTTCATTCGACATCCTTTTTTTTTAATTGGACCATTTCTCTTAATACAGGGACGGTTTAAGACTTAAAAATGCATATAGAAAGTAGAACTTAATTTTTGAAAGTGTTCCGGAAATAGGGATATTTTTATTTAATCTTAAATTAAAGCTAATGTAATATACTTTATTATGAAAAAAAAATTTTCGAGATATAGTGAAAATGTTTTTTCATATTCAAAAATATGTAATTATTGTGTTAAAATTCTTTGTATTGTATTTTAATTTATTTTAATATACTTTAAATATACATCATTATTCAATACGACTAACCATCAAAACATTCTACCACAAATGCATATAATAATAATTGTTTGTTAATGCGGTGTGTGGTCATTCTTAGGGTCGAAATCTACTATTGAGATGGCTACCGTATAATCAGACAACAAATTTGTTTTACTACTCTTACAATTGCATTATTACAAATAATATTATACACATCTCTAGGTTGAAGTTTTTACAGAAAATACATTATTTCAAGCAGTTGTCTATCTACGATTATTTGATGAAATCTAAAATAATTCATGGTAATACATTAAACTTTTATTTTAACACTATTTATAACAGTAAATATTTAAAAAATTTATTATTATTAAGCACAAAGTGCTATATAATAATAGTACCAAACTAATTTAATGAAATTATTCTAAAAAAAATTAAAGCTATAATTAAGATATAAGTAATAGAACGTCCCATTTTAAATTTACTTACCTGAAAAATATAATTTGTACATAATTTCTGTAAATAATAATTTACATAAATACATTTATTATATATTAAAATTTTTTTAATATTATCAACGCAACTTTTATTTCACATTGATAACATTTAATATTTGAAAATGTATACTAAATATTTACTTTCATTTGGTTGGTTTGATTTGCTTTATACTCAATTTTAACCTTGTAAACTAAATAGATAAAGTTTCTAAGTTGAACTTATTGTTAAAAAACCCTAATTGGCTAAAATTAAGAAAAAGTTTACATATTATTGATAGAAGTCATGGAATAATCACCTTTCACCAATTCAATAAAGGAATTACAAGAAGTCATTTTGTTATATCGGAAAATGTGAACGATAAAGCGAGACAGTTTTATTTGTTTTTAAGCTGCAATTTTTCTAAGACACTAAGAGATATACAGACTATGTAAAAGTATTATGGACAGAATGTAAAAATATCCCGACCAAAAAGAAGACTGTAAGATAAATATTTATTTTCATTTGGTTTGATTTGCATTATACTCAATTTTAACTTTGTAAACTCAATAGATAAAATTTCTAAGTTAAATTATTTTTAAAAAACTATTATTGGCTAAATTTAAGAAATAGTTTGCATATTATTGACGGAAATAATGAAGAAATCACCATGGACCAACAAAAGACTTTGTTACATCTGAGAATAAGAACGATAAAGCAAGACATTTTTATTTGTTGCTGAGATGCAATTTTTCGAAGAAATTAAAAGATTATACAGAGTTTGTAAGACTATTATGGGGAGAATGTAAAAAAATATATAAAGCAGAAAAAAAAAATGTAAAAAACAACTAATAATGGAATGTGCTTCTTTCACAAATTTCATTGAAGATTGGACGATTGCATTTTCTTCTTTTTCAAATTACACTTAAATGGAACTTAATTATAACATTGATTCATTTGTATTCATAGTATATTATTTAGCTTCCTCATACAACAAGAATGACAATTTTATAGACGAAAAACTCGATGAATTAATTTGTTCTTTATCTTAATATAATTATTAAAATAAGTATTTTTTTTTTTGAGAGATCGAAACCAATATTTATTAAATTTTCGTCTGGCCTGACTAAAACAAGATTCATAAATATTTATGTAAAAAATTTATCAAGGCGGTATTGTGGTGGCCCAATGTGTCCCGCGCTGGCGTCTTGAAAGGATGCGGCACAATAATCTTCAAGACAAAATTAAACACTGCAAATATACTCGTAAGTTTTTCTGCGTTGATGCCGGCAAGATGTTCGTTAAAACAAAAACTTTAACGACGAGACTAGCTACCCAATAAGAAAAGCTCACAATAAATTTTTACTGTTAAATAGAAATTTAAAGTTATAATAGGCTTATAAAATAATTAAAAAAAGTTTCATGTTTAAAATATTTTTCACATTTATTTCCACAATAAGAAAAATAAGTAAATAAAACATTATTATTCAATGAAGAAATTAACTTTGACACAACTTACGTCGCAATAATGTAGTCGACACTGGTTTTGAGGGTAGAGACCCGTGGGCCGTTTATTAATGAACAACAACAGGTTAATTTAAAAAAAAGACAAACAAACTGAAAAGACGAACACAGTAATAATAATGTTCGCATAATATCGAGGCACTTTCGCTGGTGTCGACGACGCGTGTCCGGCATAGTTCTCGGCTTCAAAAAATTCACTTTATCACAATCTCTACAATAAATAGATTTTATCCCATAATTAGTTGGGTGTTTTGTATTTTAAATAAGAGAACCCTGTTTTGGTGATCTTGTATTTTCCAAAATATGTGACATACATGTACAAATGATAACATCATACTATATGTTAATATTATAAGTAATAATATAATATTACATAACTCACATTTAAATCATTTTTATAATTTTTTTTTTTGTAAAAGGGGGTTAAATTTGATAGTGACCAACTTTCTTCAATAGGACTATAATGACCTTAAATATAGACAGATAAATTTAAAAAAAATTGAAATAACAATAACCACAAGAAAAATGATGATTGTTTACACGAAAGTAGCATTTTTTATTTAAGTTCAAAAACTTTTTACTTATAGGTGACAAGATGTTGGGACAAAAATTTTTTATACTTATAGCAAATAGCATTAACTTGAATTTAGCATATGTATGAAATTCGAAGTATTTCTGGAACATTTTTAAAAGTTAAGTTAAAAAGGTTATCTTGTCATGCAAAAGTATCAATTTTGAATTTCCCCAGTGAGTAGGTTAAGAGTCAGATTTCCAAAATAAATATACATGATAAAAAGGAAATACAAAAAAATGTTTGTAAAAAATAAGTTACATTTAATACTTTAATTTTCTTTAAAATTTAAAAAGTTAAAAAAATGTTAAAACTTACTGATTTTAAAAATAGTAATTTTTTTTGGAAATTCACATGGAAAAACATTTTTTTCAGTTTTTGAGATTAATTTCTTTTACTAGATATAATTAGTAATCTTTTGGCATTTCTTTAAAGAATATCAATTGGGTGAGAGTAGAAAAAATGCAAAAATTATAAGGGTATTGGAACTTTAATNTGGGTGAGAGTAGAAAAAATGCAAAAATTATAAGGGTATTGGAACTTTAATGACGGAAATGTACGCGTTACTAATTGGGTAATTATACAAAGCATTTTCACAATAAAAAAAATTGGAAATTTAAGCTAGATCAAATAAAATAAAAAATGTTCTAATAAAGAAAATTAAAACTTTTGATATAGTACTTTTAAAAGATAAGAATAACGTAGCAAACTTTTTCTTTACTCTATATTTCAAATATTTATAACATTTGAAATAAGAGATTAAATGCTGCTATCTACCAGACGTTTCTTAAATAGATCATTTATTATTTTATAAGCTAATTAAACATTTGTATAATTAAAAATTGTATGTGTTATAAATACGGCTGCTATTTGCACATAGAATGTAAGACGTTGGGACAACATAAATTTTATTTTAA